AACGAAGCAGGCAATATTTCTGAGGAAATTCGCGATCTAAGTTTATCGAGCATAATAAAGAGTTCACACATACCTCTTTGAAATTATCGATAAGATATTTTATAAAGAGTAGTAAGCTCAACTAGAACAAAAAAAACTAGAACTTCTTACCGACTCGAAAGTTGTCCAGTGCCGAGGTTCAGCGATAGTTTACAAACGTGCGCCGGGGACGGTGACATCACTGCGACCAGCCACACCAGAACGGACATATCTCGCATTTAACTCAACCCCATGCAACAAATTTGATATCCAAGTGTTCATTATGGCCCGTTCTTCCTCGACGAAAAAGTACATAAGTGACAATTTAGTCAAAGACGAGAAAACTGCACAAGAAATTTGCCTTATTTACACCATGGAGGTAGAAAAGAGATTAACATGGGCTTAAATAGCGTCCGCACTCCATCTCTTTTCTACCTCCATGTTTACACGTATCGGCAATGCGAGCTGCCCAGCAACTTCCCTTTCTGACGTCACAAGGGGAATTTCTGTATGGCAATGAATAGCTAATGAGGAGCCTCGTTTTAAAATACAAAAATAAAGTTGCTGTAGACTGAGTTTAAAACACATTTTTTCACTTAAAAAAAATAATTTATGCTTAGAAACATAAAAATTAATAATATTTATGTATCAATTGATAATTTTAGACGTGAAAATAGCAGCCATTTCACAGGCACTTTAAAGAGTTGTATTCTTATGATTGGCTCGATATACGCCAAGGACGCCCTCTATCAGCAGTTCAAATTATATTCGAATGATGTACAGTGACTTAAACAGTTGTATTCTTATGATTGGCTCGATATACGCTAAGGACGCCCTCTATCAGCAGTTCAAATTATATTCTAGTGATGTACAGTGACTTAAAGAGTTGTATTCTTATGATTGGCTCGATATACGCAAAGGACGCCTTCTATCAGCAGTTCAAATTATATTCTAGTGATGTACAGTGATTTAAAGAGTTGTATTCTTATGATTGGCTCGATATACGCCAAGGACGCCCTCTATAAATACTCTACTTTCTTTAAATAGTAGTTGAAATCATAGCAATTTGTTTGATCTGCTGAAAACGTTTCACTGACATCTATAACTTAACAGCTTTGAGTAGTTTATAAGTTTAGGAGAAATCCTATCCAACAAAACTTTGAATAAATTTTAAGTGGCCGTGAGTGATTGCAACAATGAATATTTGATCTGATTTAATTAGGTGATTGGACACCATTAACTTCCGTCGAGTACAGAATGGCTTCATTGGTCCACGTGTTTCTTCAATTCAAAACAAATGCCCCAAAAACAAATCAGAAAACTATAGATCATTAAGCGTACTGTACCAAAATTGTCAAAAGACCATTTTTCATGAAATTGACAAAGGAAATATTGTTGGTTCTATATTTCTGGAATGCATAAAGGCTTTGATCTTGCAATATTATTGTCAAAACTTGGAACATATTGTTGTCATGTTTCAAGACATAGTTATCAAATGAGACGGCGTCTTGATATCAAGAATTTAAACTTCATAATGACCAGCATGGTCATTGACCCTGTATTTCTGAAAAGTTAATATGTAGCCATGTGTTGCTTTCTTTTCCTAATATAATGTCATACTTGAAGGATAGAACTGAATATTACAATCTTGTCGTTGAAATGCACAGGAAGGCAATCAACACTACACGGAAACATGGTAATTCTCAAATGTCCGGCAGCGTCAACAACTCTTTAAATATCATATACAATAAATCGAAAAAAAATTAAGTAATTCTTGTCTTTTTAAATTAGTATTGTTATTTCTTTACAGTCAGGGTTTAATTCTGATTGACGTATCCGTACAAAGGATTGTATTTCTGGTCACATTAGGTCGCTTGGGGTCTTGGGAATTATCGTTTTAGATGTTTGAATTGTCATCAAATACCCGTGTCTTTTATTCCGTTCTT